ATTTACCTTTGTAGCGGTATAATAAAACAGTTTTAAAGTATCTCATTGAGGGAGTAAGCAAATTCTAGTCCCCCTCGACCAGGACAATATCCCTCCGCTTCGCCTTGGGAAATAGCCCTGGCCTCGGGGGAACTGGAATCTTGCTAATTCCCTCAATGACAAACTTTAATTGTATAATACATTACTTTAAAGCAATGATGATATTATCTTCGGAAGAATAAAGTTACGTACACTAAATGTAATTTACATAATATTAAAAAAATTGAATTTACCGTTGAAGTGGCGGTGTAGCTTTTGGCTTACAGTCTGCTGGTCCAGATTTTATTGAATTACTCTTCCTGTTGGATTTAGTAGCCATGCTTTAAGTTTACACCTACTAAGGTAAGAAAATTTAAGACACTATTAGATCTAGAAGCAAAAATTGAAAACGAATCTCTATAGTCAGGTACTAGTATTTGGACTTGAAACCAAATTATTAGGGCTTATTAGGGCATTTGCAGATACGTCATGTGGATGTGTATGAAGGCTATAGAATGTTTTAACTAGAGTGAAATAAGTTAAAGTTTCTGTAACATTTTGTGTCTGAACAGTTGAATTCCCGGAATAATCCGACATTGTTCTGCATTACCAAGCCTTCAAATATTCCAAATTATACAATGGACACAAGGAATAGAAAATGAGCGATTAAAATAAAAAGATTTTTTTTCTTCCCATCAACTCAATTGAAAATTAATTTACAGCACTCATAAGGAGATATAAAAGTTGCAAAAAAAAAAAATTAAAAAAGTGTACAATGCATATTGAAAAACTAATGTTAATATAGAAAAATTTTGGTTTACTCAAAATGAACAAAAGCAAGAAATCAATATTCCTCCTCCATTTTTAAAGATGATATAAAATATACTAATATAAATGATACAAGTAAAATATTGAATATTTTTTAACATAATCAAGCCGTTATGTTGTTGAACGTGTTCATGAATGCAATTCCCTAAATTTTTCAATTTGTTAAATACTCTCATGGCCGTAATCTGATATTTTATGCGTTTCAGAGTAAAAAAAAATCCGTCTCTTATATTGCCAGAGTCCAGCAGCTTCTGCATGGACTTTGCCCCTAGGCCCTGGCTTGACCCACTTGAAGTTTCTGGACCCCCCCCCCCCCCAATCGATCCACTGGAAGCCTCCAGACTTCGCCCTCTAGGCCCCGCTTGAACCACTGGAAGCATCAAGGTGGCCCAGACGTGTGTCATTTTCTTTATTCAGCGAGTGTTCCTTTATTTTCAACATTGTTAAGCATTTCCTTTCAAAGCCTATACTGTGGTTTGTGTACCATGCAAAAACCCAGTCCCCTTTTTTAAATTCTCTAGATCCGCGCCTGAATAAAACAAGTTTAATGTATGTCAGTCTTAAATTATAATCATACAATATTTTCTTTATTCATGAACAAAGTAAGGTCTTACCCTGAATTACTCCTCGGCTTGTTTACAAACACCATAACAACACGAAAGCAATAAAACGAAAGTAGAAATAGCCTAGGTCACGCTGTCCACCACATTCTGACCACGACGCTGTTAGGTTTTCCTAAAAATAGAATAGCAACAAGCTATTTAATTAAGTTATTTAAATAAGACAGCGGCGCATGATCAACATGTGTACACTCTCTCTCTCTCTCTCTCTCTCTCTCTCTCTCTCTCTCTGAAGAAAAAACGTTTTTTATAATTGATATTTTCAGTATATTCTACATGATCAAGGTTGGTCTGAACGATTTCCAAATATGGAAGTCAAGAACGGTAACTGCAAGTTGCTATAAATATATTTCCTAAACCTGTCCAGTCAGATTAAAACAGGATTTTGACACATCTACGAATAAACGTAAACACAGAACTTAAACCCACGTGGATTTTCATTTTTTGTAAAAAGAATTTTTTTGACAATTTTTTAAAATCAAATTAGATATATTGGAAAAAAGGTATATTTACTACTAACAGTTCCGTGAACAAGTCAAACTATTATTTTTGAACATTTTACATCATATTGACAGCATCATATATTAAGTATAGCAATAGGCATATATTGGATACATATTCGAATTTTAATGTGTAATATACAATAGAAACAAAGCGTTATTTTCGTCCTTTATTTCACCTGAAAAGGTACATCGAAGCCATTGAATGCAACAAAGAAAGAAAAAAATCAATTAAGCATTCATTTATGCTGCATACGAATCTTGACAAATAAAAAAAAGACCATATGATAAAAGATGAATGTATACAGACATATTTGCACAGGTACATATATGCAGACATACAAAATCAATTAAATTATTCCATCGATTGGAGCATTTTCAACTCTTAGTACATAACAAATAGTAGAGCAAGGTAGTTTGTCCTTCATTGCCTCGACTTCAAATGATGCATATTCGATAGGAATTGATTGAAGAAGGAGAAGTAAAAGTTTTTTCGTACTGTTTTTTTATATACACATATTTTGGATATTAGTGTGAAAAGAAGACCTTTCGCTTTTTGAAATAATCGGATTAGATAACAAAGATTCAATTTCTTTTCGAATTTCAGTTTTAGTTTTCTTTTCATCAGAATTCAAATAAGCTGATTCGTTTTCTGTCATGGGATTTTTTTTAACGGATTCATATTTTCTATGCTAAGGATAACAGATCATTTTGGTGGTTTCAGTTAAGTTTTTTTCCTGCGTGCGATGGAAAAAATACTGATGTCATAAAATGATTGTGAAAGTTGCATACTAAATAAAAATATATCTGAAGACAAAATTGTATTGTTATTTCCAAATAAAAAATTGCGGGATCTGATAATAAGCCGAAATGCATCTCGCTCTTGTAAGAAAGGGGGTAGCATTTTAGGGCCAGAATTAGCATTTAAGTTACTAGAGATTGAAATACGGACTTTAATCCCGACAAATGATGATAACCTTCTCCCATTTATCATATGAAGCAGCTCCTGAAATCCAGTTTTTCACGGAATTGTTATTAATATTATGGCATTCCTAAGAAATTCAGGTGTGAAACATATTCCATATTACTTAAGACGGAGCACAACTATTAACATGTAATCATAATAAAAAATATATCAATGTCAAACTCGAAACTTTCATGTAAAAAGAGTGCACGCTTTAAAAACAAATCTTTCAAATTCCAATAATTACCCTCATAAAGGAATAATAGGGTTACCGCATTTCCAATATATTAAATATTTTATTTGATTCATATTGGTGGAAGAAATTCGTGGATTTCGTATAAATTAGCAGTTCTACGTCATATAATTAACGATTTATTGAACAGATAGTAATACGTGTTAGAATTTATCCTGTGTTTTAATGCGTTTAATATGATTTTCCTTTAAATTGAAAACAAAACAAAATCGGTAATTGAAGAATTTTAAATGAACATTATAATGTACTAGAAAATTTTTATATTTCATCCTCCAAAGTGGTAATTTTTGATCTTGTAACTTTCAGGCATAAAGAGTGATCTACATTAAGACCAGATTCTAATGAGCGCCAACCTGGGACAAAGACTGAGTGTCAATTGATGTCAAAGGGACATATTTTGCTAAAATTTTAACGGGCACATTACACATATTCTTCGACATTGCGGAAACAGTAACAAAGATTTCATCTGCTCAGTGTAGCCACAGTCATTATATAGAGGAAGCTTATTGGAAAATTTATTTTTGAAAATGGTAAAAGAACCAAATGAATATATAAATACATCTCTCATCATGTATGTATGCTTTTTTTCAATTTTTTTTTTCTTAAATATATTACAATTTAAAAAAGCCATTCAAATGTAAAAGTACATGTATGAATATGTTGTAGCATAACATATTTGTCTTGTGATCATTGACATTCATTTGGACACTTGACACTGGTATTGTCTATGATCATTAACACTGAATACTATGTAGTTTGATTTATATAACTGTTTATAAAAACGAAAAACAATATTTATTGTGAAATATGTTTAAATTGTGCATTTATATATGTTGAAATGCCTTTCGGGGCCCTTGATTGGTAAATAAGATTTCATGTACAATGGATCTTGTGTAGTATCTGCAGCCATGACAATGCTTTAACTTTGTGTTTATTGACTTGCAAGTACCTTAAGTTTGTTGTTTTAAATAGTTCAATTGTTGTACAAAATGTGTTCAAAAGTATCGTATTTTCTGTTTCAAAATAAGTTAACACTGTCACTGTCAGTAATATAAGTAAAAAAACTTGAAGATTTATATCTTGATATTTGATGTAAATCCCCCACCCCCTCCCCCTTTGAAAAAAAAATATTGCTGCAATGGAGCTGTTCAACTTTTCAAAGATTCGATTAGGCCAGAGTTTTTTTATTTTCTGTTTAACGGGAATTTTTAAGAAAAAGTCGGGTCGAGGGGGCAAAATAAAATAAAAATAAAAAGTTCAAAATTTGTCGAGTCGAGACCATAAAAAAAATAAAACCCAAAATTGGTATGATTTTTTTTTTATATATAAAATGTTGAAAAATGAAAGAAAACACCATAAAATTTTGTTCATCATTTATTTGGATTTCAAATATGGAAAAATAGATACAATGTACAACTAACTATATCCATGTGTCATCCTATTGTGGTTAATTACACTTCTAAATTCTAGTATGAAAGCAAAACAATAAAATCTTATACAGTGTAGTTTGAATTATTATACAGCAAAATAATATTGGATACATGGATAACAGAAAAATCCACACTGCTTAAAAATTTATAGATGTATTCTGGTGGTCATCTCCTACTGTATAAAATTTATAAAAGTAATGATAAGAAATGTTTTAAACTACATGTATTATGATTATGATTTAACAAAAGTCTCGAGAAAGAGATAGGGTTGATAGCTAACTTGACAATGTGTTCCTAGTATAGGGCTAACACATTCTTGGGGTTCAGAATGGAATTTGTCAGCAGAAATTATTTGATGAACAACAGCAAAGTCATCTTGGAAGTCTTCTGCACTCTTCACAAATGGTTGGGTCTCCATCAAGAAATCAAACTGCACAAAAATTAAATTGTTCCTTTAAGATACTTTATAAATAAAATCAAATACATGTAGTAAATCTTAGAAAGTAGAAGATAAAAAACAGTATTTACATGAGATTATTTTCTTTTCTTTAAAATAAAGATACAGACATTTTTTAAGAGAGTTTTTGATAATACACATTTCTTTTATAATAAATATAATAATTTTGTTCTTTGTTCAATTTGCATTTAAAATATTCCATTGGACAATTTGTCGACTTAATTCTTTCTATCTCTACCTTTCCACAGGATAATGTGTGCAACTCCAATTAGCTGTCACTTGTCAGTGTTAGTTATATTCTTTTCCAACTCTCGTAATTTTGTTGGAATCCTGGTCTCATTTAATTCAACCAAGCAGACATGGACTTGTATCTAAAATATTTTAATCGTCATTTTAAGTCCCTGATTTAGTTAAACACCATCCATAGTAAAATTATACTTTACCGCGAATTTTACCTCAATTTGTTATGTGATCAAATTAAATATACAATATAAACATCTTTATAAGAAGAAAGAAAACGTATCAAAAAATGTTAACCATCGAACAACTGTAACAGAAAATTTATTAAGACATCTCAAAACTTACTTAACTTGGACATAAGTTCCACAGTTCAGTGTGCATCTGGTGTATTTAGGTTGTTGATGCCATAACTCCGATTTCAGGATCTTTTTTGTCTTAATCATCAATGGATTTAATATTACTATCCCGTCATTTTTATCTATAAATGTCTCGATATGACATTTTTGTTTGTTGATAGAGCCCGCGAAATTGCGATAAACTAGTTCTTCACACTGGTTACGATATCGTAATCAGCAAGACGCTCGTAATAGAGTTTGATTAACACAAGCTATGTCAAACGTTTACATGATTTATAAAAAATATGGTGTACAACAAACCCGATTTTATTTTAAACCATTAAAAAATGACACAGTCGGTGGGCATTTTAAAAATAAAAGTGAGATTGACCTCTTTTATTTTTTTTCGGTATTTTGAAAAAATTGGGTCGGCGCTTCCCGTTAAACAGAAAATAAAAAAAAACTCCGGCCTTATTTGAATACCTTCTGTTTACCCATGGTATAAAATTACATAAACTTTATATTGGGTAATATATGTTGTTATTAATTTTCACCAAAGTACTTTTGATGATTTGTTTAAGGTTTCCAGAGATGTTTTATATCTTTACAAATGATGTTAAAATGAGGTTAAATGATGTGTTACAAATGATGCGTTCCATTATTAATACCACAATGTAAATCAGATAGCGCAGATGTCAAGCAATTCTTTTATACATCTCAGTCGATACCATACCCTATTTCCCTTGCCACCACATATACACTGTATTTTGAATTCCTAGGTATCCACTTCTGGCTGCAACAAATGCTTTTTTATTTTTAGATTCTAATATACAATTTATTGAATTTGAACCTACTTATTTCCCAGATATCAACTACAGGCATAAGTGACTGCATCTATTCTGAATTTTTGCCGCGAGTGCAACAAGAGTGACAGCAATGTTAATTTTCCATTGATGTACTCGCATTGCTGCCCCCCTCCCTCCCCACGCTTTCTTACATTATTCACCTTCGCCGACTCGCATATCTGCTCCCAGCATAGATGTTTGATGTAATGCTATGAAGAATGTCGTTATTGAATTTTAAGAATTTTCATTTAAAATGAAGTAATTCGAACTTTTAATAAAAAATAGAAATTCAAAATTGGAAGCCAAACAGCAATACAATTGTGTCCAGGCCCCTTTGACACTGCGTATGAATGACATAAACCTAAGGCGCATTTGTTTTGGAGTTTGAACAGTTATTAATTTAAAGAATTTGTTCCCGTTTTGCACACATTTGAATTTTAGGTATTGAAAAAATGTGTGCAAAACGGGAATTTGTCCAGGTAATATATTATTTAATTGCTATAGTCTTAGACTAGTATATCATAGTTGTGAATTTGGAGAAAGAGATTCTACGAAAAGAATAAGAAGAAAAAATGTTAATTTTCCACTTGATATTTTGACTTATTTCTTGAAAAAAATTATTTTAAGACTAATCAAAAGATCTTATGCATGCAACTATGATCTTTCGTAGCAACAAATAAAACATCAGTAAAAACGAAGTAATGTTGACGTATTAATTGCAATTGCAGTAGTTGTTTGCTTGCATTTCCTTCCATCAGAAAAAGGGATAAAATATTTTTGAACTAAGAACTTTTTGTACTTCAGATTGATTTTTAAATGTCTAAACATACAATGATCTGATCTTAACTTCCGTAATTCAATACGAATTACAGAAGTTAAATTCCTCAGCTCTTTTCAGGAACCTCGAAGAAAGTCCTTGAAAAGTCACGTTTCATCATTGGGATATATTAATTAATCATTTCATAATTGGAATTCCAAGATATTTATGTTGTATATGTAAGCCAAATTTTCTAGGTGGTTTTGTGAATCTATATGCAACAGTTCCAGAGACATGGTGAGTTTTTTCAATATCCATGTTACAAAAATTATGTACGTCAATAATATTGATATTAAATGTGATAATATTATATTATGCTTTCACCATATATTTTGTTTTGTTTTCATGTTGTTGTTACAGCATATTTGATTCCAAGAGTAAAACCTACGCATTGATATAACACATATGAATTTCATAGTGTTGAATCTATAGAACAAAAGTGGGAAAAATTAATCTTTTTTGCTATAAAACAAATTGACGATCAAATTTAAACCATATAGAAAATAAAATATTTGTATTCATCGAGAGTTTCCCCCCCCCCCCAACATTATCTGAAAATTTTCTATTCGTAATGTAAAATATTAAACTTCGACAACAGTTTACATTTCGTAAAGATGGCAACATATTACTAAAAAAAACCTTTTTGACAAGTGTACTTTAACATGAATTTAAATTACATGAAATGATTTAATGAATAAACATTCAAACTTAAATGTAAAATGTTTTGAATTTTCTGCCATCCGACAAAAATTCAAAACAAGCAAGTTTATTGGTCTGTAGAGACAATTATAAAGGGTTAGGAGATGGATAAAATATACAGGTTGGTAAATGAATGTATCTAGAATTAGGAAATGAAAGATGGTTGATTGTCCAATGTTGAAAAGTGGAGAAATACATCTCCAAAAGTGCGCAGAAAATCTTGCGCCGTAAATTGCACTTTATTTGCATTACGGGATCTGTAGCGTTATGATCAAAGACTAAAATATAAAACCATAACGCTACAGTTCTGCAGCTAAGATAGAGTAAGCGTCCGTGACAAAGCGTCAGCACTCGTATCTAATCGCGTTTACTCTCATCTGTCCGTATCAAATTGTATCTGAGCGGAAATAATTCATGTCAGCTCGTGAGCAGTATAGGACCATGCAAAGCGTCACAGATAGTGAAAGAACGTGAGACACCACAACGAATCGCAAACCAGCGGGGTGTTTGTCCTATCCGAGGTCGATCCTGATGATCACGATATGAAAGCCAGATTAGATGCTCTTACTTACGATGCAGTTGAGGTTAGTTATGATGCAATACGGTCTGATGCGATGATTACGATTAAAATCTAATCGTGTTAATCGTAGAAAAATTTTTGACGGTCAAAAAAAAATTCACAATCCACACCATAGCCACGGTTTGATACGATCACTACGATTTGTCCACTTTTGAGTCCCCGATTTAAATTGTGGCACCAATCGTGATAGTGGGAACATAGCATTATGAAAAGTTCAAAGATTGTTTATTATAACTGAGTACAATGATCTAACTGTGAATAATATTTATGAATTCTGTATTTCTATAATCTGAATCTATATTTTATTCTTGTTGATGTTATAACTCAGAAAATATCTATAGAAATTTTCATTGATTCAAGGCATTGGTAAACAAACTACTAGTAATTTATTTTTATTTTACAAATCTATATTGCCTATATTTCAAACATCTGAAACATTATCCTCCTACCTGGTCATGTTTTCGTCTCCCTACATCTATAGTCCTGCTGGACACGTAATTGCTGGTACTGGTGACGTAAATATAGCTTATAATGAAGACTTAAATTACTAATTTGAAAAAAATACTAATTTGAAAAAAAGCCAAAATTTAGGGAACCCCGATTTTTCTCCTGACGTCCAAATTCCACAAATATTATGAAGATTAAGTCAAGCGATAGGCCAAACATGAAAAAGAAGACGTTGACAGTGTTAGAACTGATTAAAAGTATCAGATGGATATTGAAATCTCTCTTTCAACGGTTGAAGCGCAATATGAAAATTATCTATCTTCTGTCTTCAGTAATTCAGATGTGAAAAAAGAATTAGATAGATACGGCATTTTTAAAACTCTTTACACATTCATTCTCCATGACAGATTAAAGACGGTTGTTAGGCATCATAGACACTGCTTTTTCGATAAAAATTGAACTCATAATTTTACCTTCGTTGTCAATGGGCACCTGCAAATTTATTTTGTTAAAAACATTCTGATTCTACACACAAGTACTCCGATGTTGATAGTAAAAAGATGTTTGAGTTTCTGATTGAAAATATATAATATGTAGTTTTTGGAGATCAAGTTTTTCAACAATTGGTTGGAATTTCCTTTGGTACTAATTTCTCCCCGTTATTAGCAGACTTACCTCTTAAATGTCAAAAATATGCTGTATATTGGCACTATGAACTATTTTGAAAAGTAGGTCTGAGTTCAAGATCAAGGATCACTACTTTGTTATCCATCGTATTTTACAAAAGCCAAGCTAGATATATGTGAAACATCAAATCTATACCTCTTACAATTATCGAGATACGAGGAGTGACAGACAGACACACAGACAGAAAGATACTGATTAAGTGATCCTTGGGTGTCTCTCTGAATAGCAGGCGACACAAAAAGCTATGCGTTATTCAAGGTCGGGCTGATCTCATTAATATGTGATTTTAATATAGATAACTAATTTATAGTTTTGTGTATTGCATGTTACAAAATTTTGCCAATTTTGTTTTGACGTGCCATCATGGTTTTTCTAAAAAAAAAAAAATCTCTTAAAGATATATTTTGTTCAATTTTATGGGGAATCCGACAATGTCCCATTCAACAACATGTAAGGAGCACATGACTCAGTGGTCATACATTGTGTACTAGGTGTTTGGCCAGTAACCCAAAAGTCCCTGGTTCTAGCCCTTCTGTGGGGTACAAAGGATGTACAGGTATATATTGTGTTCGTAAGCAAGGCACTTTATCGGAATTGTCTCAGTCCAGCCAGCTACAATGGGGTACCAGCTTACACCGGCTGTTTTAACCTGCGATAGACTTGTGTCCCACCCAGTGAGAGTCAATTATTCTCTCCCGCTAAGCATTAAGGAAACCGGGTATAAACACCGGTCTTAAGAGCCTCACGGCTTTAACTTTTTTTAACTCAACCTATTTGTAAATTATGATGTGCTTCTGGGTTAGATCCCCTTTTAGTGATTAAAATAGTTTATATTTATACAGTATTGTAATAATTGACATGTTCTTCTCTTTATTACTTATACTGGAATTGATATAAATAATTTGAATGCAGTCTGGTATACTTGTTATTTATCTGAATACCGTGTATTTAATTCTTGTAATGATGCATTTTTGATGCATTTTTGCTTATTAGATGTCCTGGATATTCCTTATGCAGATATTGGCTTATTCCTAATATTCAAACTGTCTTGAATGCTCAGTTTGAAA